AACCAGCATGGACTCGATCTCTGGAAAGGCAGAAGTGAGTTGTTGAAGCTTGAAGTTCGTTTACTTCGGGAAGGAAGTTCTGTTGGCTATCGGTTGTCTTAAGAATAATAGGTTATGCGTAGAACCATCAGTTGCATTCCATAGATTGTTAATTGGATTTGGGTGTGAGTAAGAAGAGATTTCAAGGACGAAATCCTATTTAAGTGGGGGAGAGTTGTAACACCCAGTTTTGGAAGTACTCGGTTGTGGTCTGGGAGGCCAAGAGTATAGGCGATTCGGTATTTTATGGGTTTCGGGTCTTATTCGGAAGTTTTTAGGCTTGGGGGTGTGGCTAGGAGTGTAAGGCTTCTTGCCACCTTTTCGTGAATATAAAGTTCGTCAAAAATGGACTTAGAATGAAAGAGTTATAGCACTTTGAAGTTATTGGCAATATTGGTCCCTAATGGAGAAAAGAGACAAGAAAGTACCATGCATGCAAGGTGGCCACCACGGAAGTACACCCAACATAAGCTGGGGGTATGCTTAGCGTAGAGAAGTAAGTGGACGCGGGTGTGGGTGGAGTACGCCCAACGTACGCTTGGAGTTCTTAAACCCTAATTTTGGTGCTAAGAACTATATAAAGAACATAATGCCCTAGATATCAGCCTCCCTCTCACTCTTAGACAGCCAGCACGAAACCCTAATCCTTCCTTTAGTGTTCTTGGAGCTTAGGGGGCCGTTAGAGAGCATTTTGGTGTTTTGTAGCCAATTTTCAAGCAAGTAAAGAGTAAAACAAGGTGGTGGTTCAAAGGAGAAGTTGTAGATCCAAGATTGTTGTTCCATTTCAGGTCACCTTGAGGTATAAAGCCTTGAACTTTCCTCAGGTATGCTTAGATCCAGTGTAGTGATGTTTTTGACCATTTTGGTCCCAAGTATAGGGCTTTATGATTCAAACCCGATTCCTAGGCTTAGAGTTGCCACTCTCAGTGCTAAATGAGTCCCTAAGGCAAAAAGTTGTCATATTGGATGTCTTATTGGGTCCATGCATGAGTTAAGATCACTTTTATGGAAATAGAATGCTATTTTGGAGTTTAGGCTTATTAGGGTCATGTAAAGTCACCAAGTCAGTGACTTTATAGATTAAGACGTTGAAGAGGATTTGGATCGTGATAATAGCTGTTGGAATAGAGTATTAAGTGCTTAATGGAAAAGTGACTTAACAGAGAAGTACGTTGGGCGTACATGCAGGTACCCACAGCGTACAAGCCATGCAGCCTGTACGCTTAGCCTACAGAGGAGTATACCCCGCTTACTCATCAGATATGGGCTTGGCGTGTTTTGGGCCTTGGATTAGGCCATACATTGGATCTTGGCTCTTTGGGCCTTAGTGGGCCATCAGAAGTCAGATAATTTGGGCCAAGAATACATTTGACCTTAGGGTAAGGCATATTAGGGTTTTGGGCCTTAGATATGGACCAAGTTGGAATAGGGGTAAAATGGTTATCTTACCCTAAGGAGAATTATTGGTTTGAACTAATTGTTATTTTGAGTAATGGTATCTCGGGGAGTCGAGAAATCAGCAGTTCGGGGATCTTCCAGCTAGCAGCGAGGGGTTAAACGCAGGATTCTACAGTCAGCTTGTGAGATGAGTTTTCTCCAGTAAGAACGGGTCGAAGGCACCAATGTCGGCCCGTTTTTGTATGTTAGTCTATACCGGATTTAGATCCGATGTCAAGGTTAGTTCGATGTAGTTCATTTGTTCCGGATTTCGGTCTGATGTCGGGCGAGGCCCAAGGAAGGTTTATATGTATGTTTTTGAACTACGGTTCGATGTCGGGTGGTACCCGAGGAATGAATGCATGTTTAATTATATTGGTTGTCTTTGTGATACTTGTATGTGTCTGGTAGGGAGATAAGTGTGGGTGGGAGCCCGTATCTCATCACTAGCTAAGTGTAGACGGGGTTTCATATCTCATTATTAGCATAGTAAGGGCGGGGCCCAAGATAGGCGGTGCCTTGAGACTAGTAGTTATAATGTTGTGTTTGTCTGTTATGTACTAGCTTGATTATGATTATATGTTTTTATGTGCATAGCGGGCGAGGCCAAGAGATAAGTGGGGCCTAATAGAAACAAATATGTATACCGAACGGGGCTCGATGCCAGGCGAGGCATGATGCCGGATTCATCCGATGTCGGACGGGGCCGAGGCAGCGGGGTAGGCCCAATGGTTACAGTATGTGATTGTAACGACCCAAAAATTCAAAGAATTTTTTTGATTTTAATTAATAAAACATAAATACATAAACCATGAAATTCCCACATAATTTTTTCAAATCAACAATTCATTACAACTTAATCAAAACATCAGAGTGTCCCCAGTTCCTAATAGTGAGAGAGAGAGAGAGTGTGAGAGTGTGTGTGTGTGTGTGTACATGCCGCACCATCACGCCTTGCCCTTGCCCTTGGGCTCAGATGTACCTGAAACAAATCAACAATCTGTAGCCTAAATGCTTTGTGAGTTCCCCAGTGCATACCACACACCACACATGCACATATCCTGTTAGCTAATTAAAGCTACACACATATCACATAAACCATGCATACATAAAACCTGTAATAATGCCATGGGCTACCCCACATGGTCTTTACCTAGGACTGCCATAGGCTACCCCACATGATCTTACATCCAATGCCATGGGCTACCCCACACGGTCTTTAACTAGGACGGCCATGGGCTACCCCACATGGTCTTACATCCAATGCCACGGGCTCCCCCCGGGGTCTTCATGCAAAACACATAATCACATATTAAATAAAAGCACATAATGGCTAACACGTATACCATAAACACATAATGGGTCGACCTTGTTGCCTTAGACCCATGGGTATGGAGAGAAGACTCACCACAATCTGCTGAATACAAACACTGCCCTCCTAACAGTCCGCAATCCTCCGAGCTGGACAATAATAGCGGTAATATAATCAATATTAGAACTTTAAATTAACCAAGGGGAAACCAACCTCCAAACCCCTCCCCAAGGCCCAAATACCCTTTTTTACTAATGGGCCCCAAAGTCCAAGTTCAATATCCTTCATGGGCCTCTTGGCCCAATAAGGCCCAACCATTGCATCCATGGCCCATAAAGATGAAGAAGTCCATAATTCACAAAATACAACTGAGCCCTATACCCAAATAAGGCCCACAGGATTAAAGGCCCAACTGTTGCTGCGTACGCCCAGCGTACTGAGAGTTTGGGGCTACGCGTCGCATACAACTGGTTACACCCAACGTACACCCAGTTTAAGCACCTTCTCCATTAAGTGCTTAATGCTTGGTTTCCTCATGACCAAAAGTCATATTTATGTCTGTTAAAACGTCTTAAGGCATAAAGTTGCCAACTTTATGCCCTTGCATGCCTCAAAATCGTTCAACACTTCCATTAAGACCTTTTCAAGGTTCTTAATCCCTGCATGAGGCCTAAACATCCATCAAGTTCCCATTTTTATGCTTTTAAACGACTAAGGACCTCAGATCTGTCATCCTCATCTTATGGAGTTGCTTAACTTACCAAAAGAGGTCCAAAACCAACCAAATGGACAAAACTAGAAAACCCTAGCTAGATCTAAGGATTTAGATGGAAAGGTGCAAGCTTTTTACCTCCAGAAGCTTTGTAAGGTGAGTTTGGTGCAGGATCTTGAAGCACCTATACGATCCAAGCTTGCTTGACCACTTCTTCTTCTTGCAATGAACACTAAAAGGTCACAAATACACTCTTTTAAGCTCAAGAATGATCTCACAAGGTTCTCTGGGGGTACAAGGACGCTCTAAGGCTATGGAGGCTTTCTGGGATTAATTCCAAGGGACTTAAGATCGGTTAAATAGGCCTCCTGTCCGAAGATTAGGGTTTTGACTCTCTGATGCGTACGCCTGGTGTACCCTTACTTACGCCCATCGTACGTGAGGCTCCTCCACGATCAATCATGCAAAGTACGCTAAGCGTACACCTAGGTATGCCCAACGTACTCGAGGGACCAAATACGCTCATAAATGAAATCTTGAGGGTTTCAAAGACATACCAGATTAGGGTGTTACAATGATTATGTGTATGGTATGTGGTAGTTTGAGAAGACTCACTATGCTTCGTGCTTACAGTTTTCAGTTTTGATTTCAGGTACTTCCACTAGCAAGAAGAATAGTTCGGGATGACTGCATGGCACACGCCACAGTTTTCAGCCTGAGATATTTTAGACTCTGATATTTTGATACATGGTTTTGATACAGTGTTTTGATATGATGTTTGAGATACACGCTTTGAGATTTTTAGATTTTTATTATGTTGTTTATGAGTTATGGATTTTTTTAATGGTTTAAAACGGAAATTTTGGACTACATTTGTGGGGATGTTATACGTGGTTTCCACGGGTTATAACCTAGTCTCATACATTAAATTGGTGTTTTTTAATAGTTGGTTAAAATGAAAGAAAAACACTAAAATTGGTGTTTGTTAAATGACCATTGTAGTACTAGGTCTTAGCGAAGTAAATCACAGATCCAATTTGGATCTGCAAGACCCCAAGTTATTGAATGTCAATAGTCATTACCATGTTATATGAAAATCCACAACACAATTTGATACACGGTATTTTTGTTTATATCTTAGCCTATTTTCAAGATACACCTCCAGCTAAAATTTGACTGAGTTAACTTGTTCTTTCATGTTTTTTAAAACTTCTTATTGGCACCACCATATAATAATTAGGCTATGATATAGTCTTTATTTTTTTAAACTAAAATGTACCAACAACTCCGATATCCTTGAGCTTAAATGCTTAATTTTGAGATCTAACACAAAAGAGTTGTAAAAGTCTTCATTTTGAGCGAATTCAAAATTAGTCATCCTTTAACCAAAGTTGAACTATTATTAGATAACCTTACTAGAGATTCTGGTATTTGTTGGAATATATAAAGGATAGTGGATTATGGTGTTAGAATAAGGATGTCCGTAATACCCGTAACATCCCTCGTTCCTTCCTGCTCTGCCATACAATCACAATCACAATCACATAATGTCGTCGTCCCAATCCCTCACTCCGATTCCCCACTTCCCAATTTCTGTCGATCCATGTGAACTTTGTTCCTTCATCAACAGAATCCTCCTCCATACCAATGGGTTGCGGGGTGTCCAGATCCAACGAGGGTCTGGTCGTTTTTCGCAGCCCCCATCATAGTAAACCCCAAACTCATCCTCCCAAATTGTTAATCGAGGAACCATCAAACCTCCACCAACCACCGGAATTGCAAAAAATCAACATCGCATATCACGATGGCAACGGCAATGACGATCCATTGTGGGTCGGATCTCCTAGCTTTAGGGAGTATGTTCAATCCTTCCCCGAGGATGACGATGTTGCTACTTCAGGTGTTAACGCACATATGCATATGTATAGTATAATAGTTGCACATCGTTATCATGCAACATTTATGTAATTATTCCCAAATCAATCATGGATGCAGGTGATGTAAGAGGAAAGGAGATCGTAATTGGTACCCGAGGAGGTGAAAAGTTGATATGCAATGGCGAGGTATGGTTGTAAACATACGAAGGCAAGCAATTATTAGGTTAATTTAATTAGATCAACTGATTTGAATTGAAATCAATGGGATATATAGGTTTGTGTACGGGGGGATTTAGCAGGGACGGAAGAAGCAGATACAAGAGGAGGAAGATATAGAAAGGTATTTCAGGTGCACAGAGTCACTTTCTGGCACGGCCGCGCGTGGTATCCCGGCCACCCAAAAGCAACCAGAAAGGCGGCCGGAGCCTCATCTTAACATCCATCATCCATCCATGGTGATTCGTGATGCATTCTGTCTTTGACTAAATTCCTTCATTCTTTTTTTGTAATTCACTATTTTATTATTTTATCATTATTATAATTACTTAGCCTTAAAAAAAATGTTATATCGAATAAGAATTGAAGTGGGTTCAATCTCGATCAATTCAAAGTCTATTATGCAGTCTCTGACTTTGATTCACGCACCAAAAACCATATAAAGTCACTGTCATTATGTTAGAAAAGTAATATACAAAGCATAATCAATTAAAAATAAAAATAATTAGTTTAAATAGAAAATACTATTAAGTTATAAAACAAAAGAATTAAAGAAAGACAATTTTCAAAGACCGGGGTGAAAAGAATTTATATATAATTTGCATTGTTGTCTTTTTACTATAAAATGGTATTTACTTCTAATTTCTCTAATATTATGCAATCCATTAGAAATAGACTCTTATTTCTTTTTTTGAAAAATCCAAAATAAATTGTCATTTTTGACAATTAGCTGCCTTTGAAGAAATCAAAAGTATGTTATTGTTTCAGTATATTTTATTTATTTTTTTACCAAACATAAAATATAATTATTAACTAAATTAGATTTAAATATAAAAATTAATTTAAATCCATATATCTAAATATATCTAAAAAGGACACTCGGCAACATAAGGAAATAAAAAGATGAGCAAATATCTTTCATTTTTTTTTTTTAAATTTTGAGCCAACCTCAAAACTTGTCATGGTTCACGTAAGTGTAACGTTATATTTGCTACACTTTAGCCAAAACTTGTTATTTATATGACGCGGGTTGTCATGCTATTTTTTTAATTAATATAGAAAATAAATATTTTAAATATATTATTCGAATCCGGATAACTATTTGGTTTTAGTATTGTGTTTGACTTTGAAATGGGTAGTAAACTCCATCTTTGGTGGAAAACAAATAGGCCGATCGTTTTTATTTGAACAAAATTTGGAAAAAAATATGAGATGTTTGAAGCCATTTTTTTTTTTGACAAAATATGATGTATTTGAGTGAAAAAATAAGATTATGAAGTGGTTTAAAATAGGTGAAATAGTTGTATTTATATAGTAAAAACGAGGGTTTTTTGGAAAAAAAAAACAAAAAGGGTAAAGAAAAGAGGGGCAAATGGCTAGTTTTTTAAACCAATACATTCTCTCTCTCTTCGGTAAGCTCTAGCCGAGTTACCGAGTTCAACTCGACATGCCAAAGATTCGATCTTATGTTCGCTGAGGTCGATGAACCACACTGACTGAGCATGAACAAAGCTAATAAAATCCACTTTTTTTTAAGTCTTTATGCTACATTGTTTTCTGGAAAAAAAAATCATTAATTTTATTATTTTTCTCATTTAATATTATTTTATTATTATTGATATTTAAATATATTTTTTTGAAACGGATTTAAATATTATTTATTCTAATAACGTTAGCTTTTAATATATTTATGGAGCCTATATATATATATATATATATATATATATATATATATATATATATATATATATATATATATATATATTACTGAAAAACAATTGAGAGTTTTTCACTATTCATTTTCAATTATTATTTCTAGAGTCAAAATTGCAAAACACAAATCAACTTATATATCTTTAACCATATAGAAATTCAAGCTTCAGTCGCAGAAAATTCTCATATTTATATTTTTTAGAAATTTTGATTTAATAGTTTTCACCTTTGATAATTTAAAATTAAAATTTTGGTATTTTATAAGTTACGATTTTGGTCCCGTATTCGTTTTTATTAATGTTTTTTTTTTTTTAATTTAAACATACTAAACGTTTACGTTGTTTGGATCGAAACTTTATTTTTATATTTTTGTGATTTAATTGATATGATATATAATCGTCACCGTGCTATATATAGACTATTAACATCTCTAAATCACATTCTATATACAAATTACAAAGGAGTTACCTTCTCATTAAAATTACGTTTTTGATCATTTACATAACGTATTTCTATAGTTTTCGTTTTTATAAATCATATTTAACAAATAAGAAAATCTTTAGAAAAAATCTTTAAACTTTGGTCTTATTTATAAAAATCTATGATTAATTATTTTAACAGAAAATTACAAAAACCTACGGAATCTTTACATATTTAGGAATTTAGTTCTTATCTGAATACATAGATTCTTTTTAAAATAAAATAATTTTTTAATGGTTTTTTCGAAAACACCACATAAAACAATCTATATAAATTGTCTACATGATTTGTTTAATGAAACACAAAAAACTTTTTTTTTTTGTATATACATATTAATGTGCATATTACGTAATATTATGTATAATAACTATGTTGAAAGTTATTTCAAAATTTTTTCCACAAACATTATGTGTGTCGAGTTGCATTTTTCAAAATATCGAGGTTCCGTAGCATTATCCGCACAGTCGTATATATTAATTTGCAAATAAGGCTTGTGAGTGCTTTCTACTATTCATTTGATATATTATTTCGAGATTTAGATTTACAGCGAATATCAGTTTACTATTTTGATATCTTATTTTACAAGAGTAAAATAAGGATATAACTAGAAAGGGAGATTTTATCTTTTGACTATAGCAAAATTTCACATTTATAGTTTTTACCCTCAAATAATTTTAATCTAATTTTTTTTTTTTATCTTTTATAATTTTAAAGTTAAATTATTGGTATTTTATAAGTTATGATTTGAATCCTTTATTATATTTTAAAGTTATGTTTTTTTGTCTTTTATATAATTCTTATGGTTTTTGTTTTTATTAATTTTTTTAAGATACACTTTCAAATGTTATCTTCGTCTATTTCCTCCATACATAAATTTTTTTATCGAAACTTTATTTTAATATTTTTGTCTCTATTTTATATGATATAATCGTTACTATGATATATGTGGATTGTTGACATTTTAAATGACATTGTATATACGAATTGCAAATGAGTTACTTTGCAAATTAAAGTTATATTTTCACCCTTACAAATATTTTTTATAGTTTCCGTTTTTATTAATTTCGTAGATACATTTTCAAGCTTTATCTTCGTCCGCCACCTCCATACATAGTTGGTTGTATCGAAATTTGATTTTTATACTTTTGTGGTCTACTTGATATGATCTAATTGTCGTCATGCTATTTGTTGATCGTTGACAATTATAAATCACATTCTATATACAAATTATAAAGGAGTAACCAGGAACATCAAAGTTAAGTTTTGATCCCTTACACATTTGTTTATAGTTTCTGTGTTTATTAATTGCAAACTAGTTTTCCGCCGCAACGCGCGGATGACTCAAATACTAGTATATTTTATTTGTTTATTTTCAAATAAATATAACTTAATAAAAAATGTTCAACAATATATTCATGTATGCGCTCATGTGTTTTTAATATATATATATATATATATATATATATATATATATATATATATATATATATATATATATATATATATATATATATATATATATATATATATATATACACTTGAAAAAACCACTCTTTTCACTTTCAAACTAATGTAAATTTTTATTAATTTTCTTTTATTGGGCAAGATATATATATATATATATATATATATATATATATATATATATATATATATATATATATATATATATATATATATATGAGTAGGATCAAATGAGAACACCTAAAAAGTTGAGAACGCGAGAACAGATCTGGACCATGTAAATATTCAAATCTAAGGCTATTATCAGACGGACCATTTATGTAAATTCTGAAAATTATTGGTATTAAAGTGTAACTTTAAATGGTGAAAAGGGTATAATAGTAATTGAATGTTTATTTAATTTCTATAACTTCTCACACATTGATATCTTTCCTTTTAATTTGTCGTCTCTATCTCTCTCTCTCTACACCTAGGGCACACTTCGTTGCCTCCCTCATCTATACACCACCAGAGCATCTAAAAATGTGAAACAGATGAGAGAGTACAAAAGGATTCAGAGTGAGATCGAGAAGGAGGAGGGGGAAGCAGCGGTGATGGAGTTATGTTGGCGGCAAACAGTGGCAGACCCCAGCGATGACTTTCGTTTTTCATACGATCTCGTCGACCTCCCCCTGCACCACTTCGCTAAACCGTCATCACCACCGCTGGCTGTCACTGTGAGTAGTCGACCATCGCCACCTTGAAAAATTCCATTCTCGTTCCTTTGTTAATTATCAGTCGAACATGAGACATCGAAGTGGGTCTCGATGTTCCTCTTTACGATCTGGAAAATTAAACACCCGATCTGGAATTTGAACAGGCAATCAAACTTGTATTTATTTTAATTAAAACACACCCCTATCTTTAAATGTTGTCTATTTTATTGTATGCACCAAAGCTTCGCAATTCTTTTGCTTGAAAATGTTTCTCAAGTATGGTACTTTACTCATTTAAATTGGCTAATAGGGGAAGAAGATAAGTTATGCACATAAGGTGCTCGATGAAATGCCTGAATTCAGAAAAATGGAACTTGAATGCTTGTAGTTGTAATCTTATATGAACATAATGTTAGATGTCTCATTTTGCAGTTAATTATCAATGAATACTCCGTGAGGCGGGTCCGAAAGGAGCAAGACAAGCAACCACAACAAGTATATTTATGTGTGAAATTATGTTTGAATGACTATATTTATTTATGAATAACAGGGTATTCATTTGTGAATATCAGTGTATTTATGTGTGAATGACTATATAATTATACATAATTGTTTCATTAACATTTTTGCAGATATAATGAATAAACATGCATATAGTGGGAGGTGGGAGATTTACCAAATGAAACACCGACACCAATGCTTCTTTTGGAAGGAGAAAAAATGTGATTTATTCATTTATGATTGTAATTGTAGCTCTAGTTTCCGTGTCATATATATATATATATATATATATATATATATATATATATATATATATATATATATATATATATATTGTAACTTATTCATTTACTAATATAATTATATTATCATATGGATAGATATGTGTTTTATTTATTTATATATGAGTACCATTTTAGTTGATTTTATAATCTTTTTTCAGGTTTGAGTTAATTCATTTATAATTTACAATTTTATTCATTTTTAAATGTAATGTATAGATCATTATTTATGAAGATATTTTTTTTTAAATAAATGAGGTAAACCTATAAATTATTCATTATCAAATGTTGTTAGTAAAAATAAAAATATAAAACAATTTTTTTTAATTCATGTTAAATAATATTTTTATTAATTTATTAAATAAAAGGAAGATTTTAAGTATTTTTAATAATTGGGGAAAAAATTCCCATGATTTTCGGAATTGATTAATTACTTTCCATTTATCCATATTTAATTAAATTGTAAAATGTCTCTAATGCCCTTATAAAATAATTGATCCACATTTGTTCTCGTATTTTCAACCTTTTAGTTGTTCTCATTTGATCATTTTCATATATATATATATATATATATATATATATATATATATATATATATATATATATATATATATATATATATATATATATATATATTGCCCAATAAAAGAAAATTAATAAAAATTTACGTTAGTTTGAAAGTGAAAAGAGTGGTTTTTTCAAGTATTTAAATCGTTTCGGTCATTTCCCACAAATATTCTTACGGATGCATTTTTAAATTTAAAAATTGGATAATTTTTTCTTATGCATGTTTTTTTAATAAATAACAACAATCCTTTTTTATGAATTAATTTTTTACAATCAGTTTTTTTATACATAAAAATATCTCATGTTTTTGTGTTTATATATTTATTTATATTTATATTTGATTATTATATAATATAAAAAATATATGTATCACTTAATATTTATAAATTAAAAGTAATTATTTATAGAAAAAAAACATGGATTCCTTAACATTTATAAATTAAATAAAAACATATGATATTTAAAAATCAAAAGTAATATATTATAAGATCTTTAGGCTGTTAAGTGTAAGCAATGCCTATGGAGGCATTTTTGCATGTTACAAGGGCACAAACACCGCCCCTTTTCCGTTTTTGCGTTATAAGTCTGTACGTTACTTCCTGTTACCGTCGCAACATCTTATAACACCCGTTTTCTTCTAAAAACGTCGTGAACACCGACCAATATTTCTTCAAAGTAATTAGAAACCATCATGTAGTTATTGATATGTTTTTGAATAAAAAGTAATGATTAGGATGTCTAATTAAGCAATGAGAATGTCTTTTTAACCAACACCTATTAAATTTAGTTTTTATGCTATTTGACGCTGTAATTAGTATTGCTGTAATTAGTATTACTTTAGTTGGTTGCTATTGTAAGTTTTTCCTTACCTGGTTTTAGGGATTCTTCTCGCTTACTAGCAACATGTCACTTTACTCATTTGTTCCCTAATTTTTTTAATGCAATAGACAATTCACAATTGGACTTCATTTTTTTGCTACGAGTGAAAGGGTAAACAACCCATGCCACGTCAAAGAAACAATTATGCATAACAATCTACATAAAATCTGAAATAAAAATAAAATAAAATGTTATATAATTTTCAAATTGTTCAGCATGCTAGAAAACCCCTTAATAGAGTGATTGTGATATTATCTGTTTTGGGCCCTAACTCTATGAACTCAGCATCTCCTCCTGAGCTTGTAAGCAATGTTGGACTGGGAAGACCAATACACCCCCCATAAAGGAGCACATCATATTGTGAAGATTTGAGGGTTTTAATGATTAATGTAACTATGTAAGTTTATAAACCCTAACTCTCGTATCTGTAGGATAAGTAGGAGGTTTCTTGACATTAGCCACCCACAGAAAATATTACGTTTAACAAGCACCATAGGGTATAAAATTCAATCATTATTAGAAAGTAGACATGCAAAATTTAAATTGGATTTAGGAAGGAAATCCAGAAATGAGGAATGTCTATGATGATGTTAAAAACACAAGAAATGCCATATATTTACACACCTGTCCCTGTCCCCCCAAAAAACCAAGATAAACGAACATACTCTATAAAATCGCCATTCAACTAAAAAAAACAACCTTATGTTCAAGCGCAACACGAATCAGCTTTCCACCTGCAACAAACCAAACCATTTAATTGATACGAAACTGAAACAAAAGCAATTATCAGAGATGATGTTTTGATGACGAGAATTATAATAAAAACAGATAACGGGTCCCTGAATCCTTGATTGTCTTCAACTCAAGTGAAGTGACAAACATACATACATCTTAACTCTTAATTTTGTTTACTTATTTCATCAAAGAGGTAATCAACTATCAAATAGTCCGCACGACCTGATATACCAAGTACAACAGCACAGGTTACCGACTTTCAGTTTTACAACTTTGGCCCACGTTTTAAATTTTGTTACGAACTTGGTCCAAAAATTTTAACAAATTTGTCCTGAGACCAGTTTAATAAATGGCATATATAGATATATTGGTGACTTGAAGACAATGAGAATAGTATATTTCCCATTCCCAAAGCAAGTATTACCTTAGGCTTAGGTGTGGCCTCTAGACTTGAGATTTGAAAGCAAAATGGGTGTGAGTGGGGGAGAGAAGACTTGTTGTTGTTCATGCCTACTCCTGCCTCCAGTTCTTTGTGGCTGTGGGGACTCCATAGCACTCGGGTTGCTAGAGTGAACCGAGAAGCTTCTAGGAACAACTAGCGGAGGAGGTGGAAGGGGAGACGCAGTTGCAATCGAGGTTTTACTTATTTTGGGAGGAGAATGAGATCTGTCTTGATTTTTCAAAAACAAAGGGCCCGAATATCCCATCATACCCTGTTTAGAAGAAAAAGAAGAAGGAGGAGGAGGAGGCCTAGGAAGCTCATGAAGCTCACTTATTCTTGGAGAAGAAGACAATGATAGGCCCGGAGGCGGAGGTGAAACACTACGAGAAACATGAACTTCACTAGTATTTATCTTTCCGGAAAACCCCCCTTTCGTTGGCAGCAATGGACCAGAGTAGGCTTGTCTTTTCCCTACTTTACTATCAAACCCACTCCATGAAGGAGGAGGAGGAGCAGGTAACTGGATGCTGGAATTGGAATCTTTTATCGTGGGTTTGGAATCATTAGAATCCCTGTCGTGTTGTTTCTCATCTGTTGGTTGCATCTTGCTGAATGGATTACTGGTGTGGGGGGCAGATGATGCAGGAGGTGTTTTTGGAGGAGGTAGCACGTAAGAGTGAAAATTCTGCCGGGGTTTTGTTTGTGTAAGTGTTTCCTTAGGCTTCTCAGATGAATCCGGGAATAATGGGGCAGAGTAACTGCTCGCTCGTGCCCCTTGCTGTTGTTTGTAATGATTCATCTGTCGCAAAATAATAAAACTAATTTAATGTTAAATGGAATTACACTGAAAATGAATGTTTGCTAGCTGTTGCATGCGTACATGTCGATCTTCTGAAGTTGGAACTTGAGCATGTGGTATGTCAGGCCGGTCTACCTGCAAAATGCAAATCAATATATTAATTATATCATCATACTTACAACACATGGAAACTAATCTACAAAAGGAAACTAATTAATTAATTAATTAATAATAGAATCACTAAAAGGTAAAACCTCCAACAATACAAGAATTTTACTTCATTATTTTACCTTTCCATAACAACAGTTTGTATCATCATTACATTACTACAGTATATTTTATTTTAGAGTTATAACCAAAAGCAGATTACCTCCATTGGGTTCGATGATGTGCCAAAATTATCAACTCCTTGCTTCTTTTGCCCATAGTCAAAACTCAATTCCCCATCATCAATCCTCTCAAAGCTGTTCATACCTCCATCTTCCCCACCATTCACATCATCAAATTCAGTGAGTTGGCAATCGATTCGATGCTTCTCTGCAACAATTCTTATCAACGGGTCAACTGCTTCAAGAGCCTTACATCCCTTACGAAAAAAATTCAACTGCTCCAAAAAAAAAAAAAAAAAAAACATTTTCACTACTAAACAAATAAACATAATTAAAAGATAGTGACACGTAATGTATTAACAGAAATGACACCTGTGCAGCATGATGGCGTGTAGCTTGTGTCAAAATACTACGACATTGTCCCTCCTTGAGTGATTTTACCCGAAAGGCACATAGTCTAGCCACTTCGTTATATTCATCTTGTGCTTCTTGTAGTTTTTGTGCAACTGAACTTTCAGCCTTTCCACTTCTCAACTTTCCCTTCTCTTTGTGTTGTGACATCATGTATTCGTACACACCTCTGTATGCAGACTCAACAATTAACAAACTTTCATAAATCATATCAATGGCAACATATTAAAATATTTACCTTTTCTCATCACATTGAAGCTTCATCTCCTCTACTTTTTGTAGCTCAGATAGAAGAGACTCTGATGGATTTGTAATTGTCACAACCACGTAAGAACGCTGATATATGAAGAGGAATAAGTCGCTGATATTAATTATTACCATAAGAAAGTGGAATACCCGCGAATATTGACAACACTTACATAACTATCCGCGATTTTTTGGAGGTCTGATTGTATATTTCCTAAAGTTGATAACACTCTTCCTGAACACAGAAAGTTTTACTTTATAATTAGGTATTGAATATCAAAACAGATGTGGAAATGTAGTAACAAACAAAGAAACAATTTGTTATTACCACTTTCACCATCAACATCACTTGCACTTTTCTCCAGCAAACAGGTCCCCATTTCATGTAGAGATTCTGAAAATTCTGAGATCCCATGACATATGAGGTTACTTGTCAGTGTGAGTATATAACTTAGATGCAACAAAACATGGCATTTGGATACAAAAAGAAAACACCTACCAAATATACTATTTGTCATTGCAGCAGCAGCTGACATTAAGCCATCATAGGAGTTTCTAATGTCTTGCATATCCTGCAAAAGAATATACCGGTCAATCAATCGACCTTACACTTTCAACAACATTGAGACCTTATACTACCCACAAGCAGACTCCACCACCCATGAATGGCGTAGATGGAAGAAACGTGCTATCATGGGCTGTGAATTTGATCGCCTAGGGTCATTATTATATATAGGATTCTTCTTAATCTTACATCTTTCTTCAAAGAGTATTTTAGTCGTGAAAAGAGAGATTAATTTATAATATAGTGCATTGCAAGTGTGCAACTACAGTCCAGAACCATGAAGAGACGTATGAGAAACCCTAATCGATCCTCACTTGATTTGCACAGGAAATTCGATATCAGAGGCAGCACGCAAAAGGAAACAAAAACAAAATCCCTACCTTGGAAACCTGAACAAGCTCATCCAAATGGGCGGAAGGCTGATGATCCCTCTTCTCCTTCCCATCGTTCTTGTGCATCGTTAATTTGCGCCCAAACTTCTCCAGTGACGACTTCATTTTATAAACACTTGCAAACTCAAAAACACTGGTGATTATACTATACCCACAGCGACCAAGGTGCAGGAAAATGTTAAAAAAAGTTGAGATTTATCATTTATGTGAGATGGTATTTATAATTGATTCTGGTAAACTGATCGGCAAGTCTGCGTGCGCGTTTGCTTGGTAAAAGTGTAAAAACAGAAAAACCATCGAAAGGAAGGAGAAATGGTAGAAAAATCGATCCTAATCGCTGTCGCAGTCTAGAAATCCTGACGTTACGAATCAGGGAAGGTGATTGAAACTTCCGCAAATTCAACTAAAATAGAAGTTGCACTGGACTCGGTACTTCCGGCGTTGAACCTTGACCATTTTGTAGGTTTCATAAACTATACTACGCTTTCTTTACACGGAAATTTATATACTTACCCCCAAACCCCAGTGCTTAATGTACCCATGTGAATGCAATACCACATCTAACATTGTTTGTTTACCAAATGATTTGAAGATTTTTATGACTTAGGGTTACGTATAGTAACACTTTTCTTTATATAGATATTTTAAATTAATAAAGCTAATAAATATTTTAAGATATTATTTGATATATGTGTATAAATATAAAGTGTAATCAGTGGGTAGTTGTTTCTAATTTTTATTATTAATAAATTCAAATACGTAGTTGAATTGAAGTTTTACACGGAACAAAATATGAAATTTATTATGAAACTTTATATGTTGTTGTTTAAGACTTGACGATTTAGGGTATGCCATGACAATATTAATCACGACATGAAACATTTGCTTGATATGGCCAAAAATATTAGGCAAAAAACGTTAAAAATCTTGATCAAATTGAGCAACATTAAATATCTAAAAATATAAGAAAGACGATTAAGGTTAGATCATTGATCGAAATAAATATCAATTTGGATTGGAGCATGTTCTAATAAGAAAATATTATACTTTTTGTATTATAATTGTTTAGGCTCGGTCCAAACGGTGGGCAACATGAAACGATAAATGCATGCTCGAGCTCATCCTCATTAGGACACAAAAAAAACAGTTTACATTATATATCGGTAATATATGTTTATCTAGCTAATGTTCGTCGTTTAAGAAAATAGTTTCGATGGTCCCAAAGCATCACAGATATTGTATTATATGACATTACTTTTGTCGTTTCGAAGAATTTCATCGTCAACACGAAGATCAAGAACTAAATAAGGAATATGTGATTTTTTCTATATCAACATTTTAGTTGTTTTAATTCTAGACGTTAATAATTTTATACATTTTAGTTGTTTTAAATCTAGACGTTAATAATTTTATATCGGGTTAATAATTTATACTTTTTTCATCTAGCGTTTTAGTTATATAATGGAGAAATACACTTATTAAGGTAACTATTTTTTTTATACACATTTAGGTAACGAACTTTTTGAAAGTGTTTATATATGACTATTATGACTGGCTGTCAACACTTCCAAAAATTTTGTTACCTTACAAAAAAAAGATAGTTACCCAGATATGAACAAACCGAAAATGTATAAATTACACGAATTGTCCATGTGGTTTGAGTATTTTGTACATTTGGTTCCTAACTTTTTTTAATTCGGATGATCCTTACTGTTTATTTTTACCGTGCGTTTAGTCACTGTCTTACCAGTTACCTCAAAAGACTATTGTGCCCTTTTAAATTTATTTTCTTATTTATGTATTTTTTTATATATTTAATAAAATTAATAGACCCCACATATTTGTATCTCTCCACCCTAATCTAAAACCACATTTGAAAATTTTAAACCGAGTCCCACCAGACATCATCACATCTCTCATCCCCTCAACTTTTATTTCATTTCCATCTTTACAAGATACATATATATTTAGAGTCTGTTAAATTTTATAATATATAAAAAATAAGTACATAAATAAGAAAAATGATTAAAAGTGGCACAATAGTCTTTTGAGGTAAGACAGAAACCAAACGCACAAAAAAAATAAATAGTAGTGATCATTCGAGTTAAAAAAAAATAAGTTATGAACCAAATGCATAAATTACCCAAACCACAGGGACCATCCGTATAATTTACTCTTACCTTGTCAGGTTGTTCACATTTGGGTAATTATCTTTTTTTGTACACATCTAGGTAACGAACATTTTGAAAGTTTTCACATATGGCATTATGACCGGTTATAACCGGATGTAACCTGCTGCAGCCGGCCAGAATGGTCGTATGTGAACACTTTCAAAAAGTTCGTTACCTATATATATATATATATATATATATATATATATATATATATATATATATATATATATATATATATATAAAGATAGTTAAAGTTAATTACTTAATAAGTCTACGTCCCTTATATAATGTGTCTACGTGTTTTTTAATCGTTGATAAGGGGTTAAATCTAATAGGCAAAACTAATTATATTCCATGTATAACTTATCCACATGCATTAGTTCATGAAGACATAGGTTTAGTTTCAACTATATCACAATTCACTCAAACTAGGGTTATGACCATCTTCTCAGTTTTTAAGTAACTAGCCATGATTTCAACATGTAACACTTAACAACAAGATTACTAAGCTCACTACAACAATATTATTAATCTTTATTTTTCATGGCGGCATATAAGAACAAAGTTTCATCACTCTTTCAATTCTACCACAAATACACCCATTAAGCTTGGTAAGAAGATGAAGTTTACCTTTAATCCAAGCGATGAAGTTTAATTCCTGATTCCATTGAAGTTTCTTTGAATCTAGCTACCTTCCCAAGTGTTTGGCTCTTAAATCGCCCTACTAGGCTTTGTATGATGTGTGAGTATGAAATACAATGTAGGAGGCTGACTTATGCCTTTAAAAATCGATTTATGAAGCTCAAAGCTTGTAACACTCGGTTTATCAGATATTAATATTATACCCTAATTTTATGAATTTTGGGTAGCCGCGACGTAGTGATGAGGATCACCATGGCGTGACATCCATCTTTGTGATCGCACATCATTTAAGTCGTCACAGCGTGGACATGTAATGGCCATGACGTGGTGATGGTAGAATGCAAAACCCTAGATTTTTTGGCCTTGAGCCCTATTTAAAGGAATTTATGGCTAAAGTTTCCCCTACATTTAGACTCTATGACCTCTAAAGTACTCTTGATCAAACTCTAGCCTCATTACAAGCTTTTGAGCTTATCTTTGGTGTTTTTGTGATATTTGATGAAGAAAAAGGAGTTCCTAGTGCAAGAATCCAACAAGAAACTCATGTCCATTCTTTTTGCATCTTCTGTACTCTTTGTAATTCCTAAAGTTTCCATTCTTTGGTTCCTTCCTTATAGATCTAGGTTTTAATGCTTGTTTTTCATGGTTTTGATGATTTAAACGGAAGGATTCTGTAACGTCCCAAAAATTTCCAGATAAAAAATTTTCATTTCAAACATTCAGTAGTCATGACAAAACAACCAATAGTGTATCATAAAAAAATATATATCATGGCACAAATCTCAAAATCACATAATACGGAAAAACACAGGCGGATGCGGTGCAATTGTGTCATTCCCTTTCGACCTGGAAGTACCTGAAACACAAAATGAAAACCGTAAGCACAAAGCTCAGTGAGCTCCCCCAAAAATACCACATACAATACATGCATAACAATCGATATTGGGTCTATTTCATTGGTACTGGGTTTATTCACCCTTTTCGGTATCTTTCAACCAGTACCGGGTCTATTTCACCCGTACATCTAAGCATACAATCATATCATTAAAGTCACGAAGATAGCAGGCATAAAATGGAATTATCACGAATAAAACTATTAATCTACTAACATAAACCAGTGGGCCAGCATTGGTGCCTTCGACCCACGAGAACAGTGGAGGAAACTCACCTTGATCGAAAGATAGCAAATCCCACACCCGAGTCCAATGCCCAACGGTTCCTCACGCTCGACATAATCAATACCAACCTTAGTTACTATCTAAGTTTAAGCTCATAATCATAAGGCCTAATGATGGTCCAAGCTCAAACTAAATAATCTTAAGGCCCAACGGAGTTCATATGAAAGAAATATGATTTTTTGAAGTTTATTAAATAAATAAAATATTAAATTTAAATATAAAATTCGGATATTATCCAAAGGGGGGAGTCATCGATCCTATCCAGGTTATGTCAGCATACCTAGATTTACACCTAGCGTAAATCAAGGATCCAGACCCTATAAAAGGGATTCGAGTGCAGCCGATTCATTTGCTCATTTTCTCTTCTCTTTCCCGTTTTGCATCGATTTACATGCAAGAAATATCCCGAAACCCCGGTATCAACCCCGAGCCCCGAAGCAAGTCCCGAAGCCCTGAAGATCCCAAGAAATGTGATTCCCGAGCCGAAGCTCTGCCCGCGATGAGCCCAGTTTTTGTGAAGATCTTCCAGATCTACCGAAGAATACTACTTCTACAAGTCGTAGTGTTGTCCGATCATCTTTTGATCAAGTGAGTGTGTAGTTACCTTCTTCTAACGCATAATTATGAAGTATTTTATACGAAATACGTGTTATGTGTATACTTAGTTTTTATATACGTGAATATATATTCACTTTCTTCTATCTCATAGATTCGATTTATTCTCTATAAATATGTGTTATGTGTGTGTGCCTCATCTGTTATGTGGAATATGTATTGATTGAACATGCTATACAAGTTTTAAACTATGTCTAAAAATATTTATTATTATCTACTAATATGTTGGGTAGAACATAGGTAGATAGTTGATGTGTGATAAACAGATGAGAGGCCTCGATGTTGTTATTATTGACCTAGTCATCTAGCGGAGTATGGATGACAATCACAGACTCTTTCTAGACAGTCTTGTGGAACGCTAGCAGGTTCATAACCTGTAGGTGTTGTGAACGATGTGTTCACCGGTGTACTCTATCCCCCTCATGGTTGCCTTTAGGATATCTATTGTTGAGGAAACCCCTTAGCAATAATGTTCGTCCCGATGAAAATCCTAGATTTGGTCCCTTGAGATAGATGTTGTTTTAGGGACATAAAGTGAGGATAACGGGAATGGGTAATCGGGTTATTGTTGGTTGGTGAAATTAAATATAATTATTTATTGTGGATTGAAAACCCTATATGCTCACCATGCTCCCAAGCCTGACCCACTCAGTCTTATTGGCATTACAGGAAATGGCGCGAGGGCATAAGATGGATGAATCATCAAGTTGTTTTGTTTACAAGTCTGTATATGTATATATTTATTGAATGACTTGTAATGTTATCGTTTATGCTTTATGGTCTGTATCGGAACATGACATCCCGAGTTTTAATTATATAATGAAAATGCATCTCTTGATGAAATGCTTTGATAAATATTATTTTATCTTATTTTGTTTTGGGAACAAATTCCGCAACTCTTTTAAATCAAAAGGATTTACTCTGAAATTATTTTAAAGAAGCATAAATGAAATCGGTATTTCCTGACTGAG